ATCATAGTAGGAATATCTTAAATGTCAAGGAGATGTACCAAAGGAGGAGGAAGAGCTGGTGAAATTCCAGCAATTCCTACCCCTTAAGTCATCTTATGAAGAGCCTCCTACTTCGGATCTCAAACCGTTACCCGAACACTTGGAATATGCTTACCTGGCTAACGATTCTTAACTAAAAGTTATCAATATCTCCTCTTTGACCCCTGAACAGAAGGAGCTTTTGATATACCTACTTCGAAAACTTAAGAAAACTATCGCATGGAAAATCACTGACATACAAGGGTTTGACCCCTTTTGTTGAACTCATAAGATCTTGGTGGAGGATGAGTATAAGCCAGCTGTGCAACCTCAGAGGTGGCTAACTATATCTAACTATAGTTTTCACTCTTCGATTATAATATAATGACCACCGTTTTCACCCTTCAACATATAAAAGCAATAATTACTAGACCATGGAACGAAAATATCAATCAAAATATATTAAATATGAAATAGCATTTAAAAAAAAAAGATGAAATAGCATTCTGTAACAACTCTGGGTTCCACTAGTTAAATAAAGGGAGTTCTAGCCACTCATAGTGAAGGAGAAAATATTAAATCATTGGGGTCTTCTTGTATCCTCGTTTTATGACACCTCTCATCCGTCATTTCCAGGTTGTGGAGTCACCTTCTCATCGCCTAAGTAATTAAATAGAATTTTCAAAGTGCAAGGTGTGACTAATCAGAGGCCAAAATTCATTGTGCTTTTCCGTACCCTCTTTGAGTTTCATGCGATACGTCATTGTGAAGTTGGGTTAGTTTGTGAAGGAAGAAGAATTGAGTCACCATTGCTTATCTTCATACAAGCAGTATTGAAGAATTGGAACTGGGCTTCTTTTAACCCAGACCAGACGAAAGAGATGAAAGAGACTCAGACGGAGTCGTAGTAACTAAGTGGTTGAATCCCATAAGGGAATGCGACGCCATATATAGCAAAGGAGAAGGATAAAATAATTATAGTTTGTAATTAGCCACCTGGCAGCTTGTCATTGGCTGATTTCAATATTTAGTTTATTACCGTTACTGCACATATAGTATTCCACCAAACTGCCGACTTGTTTTTCTCTTCTCAAGAAAACCCTAATTCCCTTATGGGTTTCAACTTTTCTCATAGTTTGACCCAAGTCTGCACAAAATTGGGAAAATATCGCTAAGAAATGGTATGATAAATAATACATTTCAAGTCGAACATGACCTCATATATTCATATTTACCAACACAATATCATTGTATTTCATAGTGCTAACACCTCATTTACGACCGACGCATGCCTCCTAGTGTATGTTATAACTATCGAAACTAACATATTGTCATGTGTATCCTTAAGCACCCAACCTATTGTCACGTGAAAACCCTCTACATCACTCCATCAAACAAGCGACGAAGTCTTCTACCCCCTCCAACGGGGTGAGATACGGTCACAACCCCTTTGGGGGTTGTGAGATTCACAACCCACTTTCTAACCATTGGATATGCTCTCTCCTGTCTCTTTCTTCTTTTTTCAAATCAATGGTTAGGATTAAAAGAATGATATTTTTGGAATGAAAAATGTTAGCATACCCAATTATTCTCCCTCCCATATAAATAAAGAAAACCCTAACTCCTCCCTAACCCTCTCCTCCCTCTCTCCCTCCTCCAATTCTCCATCAGACGTGACTGCTACCGGACTGCATTGTTGCCGCCGTCCACCACAACCGCTGCCGCCCTTCGCCTCCCTCCACCCACCACAGCCTTCGCCGCCCTCCACAGCCTCTGCCGCAGTTGTCGCCTCTACAATCATCCGCGGCCCTCCACCCTTGTCGTTGTCTCATCTCTTCGTTTTTCAGATCTCTTCCCCGTGTGAGTCCCTCTGCCTCTCCGTGCCTTATCTCTTCTCCTCCCCTTCGTCTTCCAGATATGAGATTTTTGGTTTTTCAGATCTGGTTTTTTCTATTGGTAGTGGTACGATACCACTACCAGGTACAAGATGGTACGGTACCACTACCATTTGGTACCTGGTAGTGGTAACGTACCACTACCAGGTAATGGTACCAAATGACAGTGGTACTCTACCACTACCAGATGGTAGTTGTACCGCTGTACTGGTAGTGGTGCCAGTGGTAGCGATAGCGTACCACTAGCGCACTGATGGAGCGATAATTTTTTGCAGGTGGCCGGAGCGAGTCTTATTCAAGGATTTCGCCGGAGAAAGTGTGTCGGTCGCAAAGTCAGCCGGTCGGAGTGGTGTGGCTGCTAGAAAGGAAGAGAGAGATATGAAGAGAGAGTAATATTTATTGTAGGATTTATATTTAAAAAAGCATGTATTTAATATGGGTTTTTAATTCCCAATCTGTAATTAATAAAAAACAATTAATTAATAAATTTGTTTTTTTTTCATACCCAAAATGCCCATGGTTGTGAGATAGAACTCCATCCCCTTTTCGGCAGGCAGGGCGGATTCTTAGTCAAATCATATACATTTTCCTATCTGGAACCAAAATCAGAGCTCACCTTGAGTGAAAATCCAACTAATCTTCCACTTGAAAAAGATAATTGGCGAGCAAATATTTCAAGTCAACTGAAACACAACATAAATCTTGACTTCAATAATCGCGAAAACAAGCACAAATGCACCAAAACATTAAAAAAAATCATATTTGACAACCCTTCCTTCAAACCATCGTTTATTCCTCCTTCAAACCATCGTCATAATATTTATAACAATCATTACGAAAAGTTCATGCTACAAAGTTTAGGGTTGGAAGGATATTTGTTTAATTGATACATAAGAAATCATTATTCAGTTAAAAGCTTTACGTACCATCTTAATCATTTCAAAATATTTATGTAATAATTTTATTTAATTGATATATAAAAAATAAATATTCGTTCATAAGTTTTTTGTAGCCTATTTGTAGTTTGTATAATTGTTATAGAAGGGTGTTATGTAAATCTTCTGTAATACTTGGCCAAATAATAAAATTAAGTTTCAGAATGCTTCATATTTGACTAAACGGGAATGTAAAATTTAATTGACCTTAGAAAACATTTGTGTAATTTAAATTAATAATATGTTGGATATTTTATTAAGAACGAAGTACTTTTAGTTAATAATAAAGTAATTAAATGACATAAAGTATCATATTTGATTAAAATGTTATGTAAAAAATAATTTGATAAGATGATCAACAGTTTAGTCAATAACAAATGAATTTTTGTTCATTATATTACGGAAGACTCACTTAATAAGAAATAATTATCCCAACATAAGCTTTACATAGTGTATTAATCAATAAAGAAGCCTTACATATATAATAAGTTTGTATAATTGACTCGCATAATAAGAAATAATTATGCCTCCATAATTATCACTCTATAATTCTTACGTAATATATTTGTAATATGTTTAACTATTGTAGAATGACATTGTGTAGATCTTCTGCGATGTGTGGTCAAATTACAAAATCAAGTTACAAAACGTATAACATCTTAATAACTGCTTTGTAAAAGTTAACTGACCTTACGAAACCTTTATGTAAAACATAACAATTTATTCAACTTTTATGTAAAAAATAACTACCTTTGCATAATCTTTGTGTAAAACAAATTGATAAATGGTCAAGAATTAAGTTAATTTTTAAAAATTTGGTTCGCTCAAACTTATACTATGACGGATATATGTTAATTAGTTTGTTTATACATAAGAAATATCTATTCTTCTATAAATGAAGGATTGTAAAATCGTAATGGAGGTTATACCGAAAAATTCATAAAAGAAATATTTATCCTTCTATATATCATGGATCATAAAATCGTAATGGAAGTTATACCGAAAAAGTCAGTATTAGAGTAATTTGTTTTGAGATCATAGTTTAAATGTGGTTCAACCATTTTATACCGTTAAAACTCTCTACCGGTCTGGACTCTCTAGACATTTGTTTGTCTGATTTGTTTGGCCGAATGATAGGGTGAATTTGATGATTATGATAATAATGGCCAGTTAAAATAATTGCTCCAAGAAGAATGGGACCGAAATAATTGGTGGGTTCGGCCACACCTAATCACACCACTAATGAAAAGTAATTTGGGGAGAGATTTTTGTGAGGAACAGAAGATTGACTCGCGTAATAAGAAATAATTATGCCTCCATAATTATCACTCTATAATTCTTACCTAATATATTTGTAATATATTTGTAATATGTTTAACTATTGTAGAATGACATTGTGTAAATCTTCTGCAATGTGTGGTCAAATTACAAAATCAAGTTACAAAACGTATAACATCTTAATAACTGCTTTGTAAAAGTTAACTAACCTTACGAAACCTTTATGTAAAACATAACAATTTATTCAACTATTATGTAAAAAATAACTACCTTTGCATAATCTTTGTGTAGAACAGATTGATAAATGGTCAAGAATTAAGTTTTTTTTTTTTTTTAGATAAGGGTGATATAGGTTATATTTTGTAATTAGGTACTACTGAAGGGATTCGAACCTGAGACCTCCAGGTTCAAGGCTAGTAGTATTACCACTAGACCAATCCCTTGTTCTTGGTCAAGAATTAAGTTAATTATAAATAAATTTGGTTCACTCAAACTTATACTATGACGGATATATGTTAATTAGTTTGTTTATACATAAGAAATATCTATTCTTCTATAACTGAAGGATTGTAAAATCGTAATGGAGGTTATACCGAAAAATTCATAAAAGAAATATTTATCCTTCTATATATCATGGATCATAAAATCGTAATGGAAGTTATACCGAAAAATTCAGTATTAGAGTAATTTGTTTTGAGATCATAGTTTAAATGTGATTCAACCATTTTATACCGTTAAAACTCTCTACCGGTCTGGACTCTCTAGACATTTGTTTGTCTGATTTGTTTGGCTGAATGATAGGGTGAATTTGATGATTATGATAATAATGGCCAGTTAAAATAATTGCTCCAAGAAGAAGGGGACCGAAATAATTGGTGGGTTCGGCCACACCTAATCACACCACTAATGAACTGTAATTTGGGGAGAGATTTTCGTGAGAAACAGTAAAATGACTGTAGGCTTACTTGCACCTTTAATTAATTAATTTATTCTACTTTTACAATTCAAAATGGGGGTCCATGCTCTACCAAATTTCCTATCATGATTGTTGCTCCATTTTCCTAACTTCCTCCTGCAATTTCAGCTTCTGACACTATCGTCGGCAGACATGAGGTTGCAAGGAGGCTCCAACGAGGGAGAAGTTGAAGATTTTTCAAGGAATAGCCTCTGCTTCTCATCGGCAAAGCACAACACAGAATCTGGACACACCTCAAGAGCAGAGGGTGGTGGGACAGGCTTGAACATCTGGAGCTTTGAATATTCAGTGATGAGGTGGAACATGTAGTCGTAGATTTTGTCCATACTTAAACTCTCCATGAAGTCTTGTCCTGCTTTCGCTATCGCCTGAGCCTGTTGGTGGGAAATGCAAGCGAAAAATGGCATCCAAGTTGAGTATAGAATCATACGCAAGCAGATGAGCTAAGCAAATTCATATTGGTTATCCATGCCAACTTGAAATAAGGTTGATAAAGGTAGGTTCAAGTAGGGTAAACATACCTCAGCTGGGTGTGAGTTCCCCCAGTCAACAGCCGACTTTATCGATTTACATAGGTCGACGGGCGATACTGGCCAATAATTTTTCTTGGGTATAAGGCCACGACTGAAGAAATCCTCATACTGTGGCGAAATGATCAGCGTCATGGCACCACAAGATAGGATATATTTCAAGCTCACGGACCAAGCGAAGCCTTCTGCATATATCTTGTACCTACAAACAGATGGAATGGAAACATAAATAATTAGCAGTAGGAAACATATAACTCCAAAAGGGAACCACGTGATTGATCCTATCAACCTGCATCCTCATATGGAATGTGCTACATAATGCATGTTCCATTACTATCTTTCCTGTAGTTTTTTTATGATCACCCAAATCCAAAGAATTGATCTAGTTGAAACAAACTTGTCATATGCTCTCAAAGGAAGTATCTTGATATATGGCAGTTCCTAAGTGAATAAGTAGATAACATAATCAACTAAAGCCCACTCACCGATAGGTGCACTGATTTGATAGCTTGGAGGCCTCGAAACCTTCTCTTGCCTCTTGCACCCAATCCTGTAATACACACAACCTTCAGTAACAACTTCATCGAACCCTCCTCAAAAATATATAATTTTCGATGAGAATAGCACTATGAAAAACTAAACCTGTCGCATAATTTGTGCTCCCCATTTTCGGGAGTCATTGCATTGCAACAACTCTAGACGAACAGGGGAAACAACGTCTGGATTTCCCTTCCAAAATGCACGAGGCTGCTTTGCTGCCCATCGTTTAGCTTGAGAACCCTTTTTAATGTCAGGGAACTCCTCGCTCCATGGCTTGATATTAATCTCCGACCAACCCCAGAAGGACCAATCAGGGAAAGGAATGTCGAAATGCTCACGGGTGGTGCAATACCGAAAAAGAGGCACAGGGTTGGATTGACGTTCGGTCCGATTGAGAATAGGCTTGTCCATGCAATCAAACATTAGATCAACATCAGGAACCATGCCAGGATACTTCCGCAATAGTTGTATGAATCCCCATATCGTCACCATCATTCGACTCTGGAAGCAAGCATAGTAAGGATCCAAATAGAGCCTCCCCTGGAAGATTACAATTCGAAACGCCGCAAAGTTCTTGGCCTCCATGACCTGATTCTCCGTTATCCCGGACTTGACCCAAGGGGCCAGATCCCGGTGTATGTGACTGAAAAACTCGGGACACTGTGCTGCAGGTTTGTTGGTCTGGAAACGAGGTCGCTCGATTATGCTTCTATTGAAATATGGACAACTAAGGTAGGAGCACTGGATAATCTTGTATGCTCGGGACTGGCGGGTTTCATCATCGAAGCTCTTGGCTGGAAAAATGTGCCATGGGGTCGGCTCCAGGTTGTGGCCTGCCATCGTTTTGGTGCTCGTCACGAAGTCATCTACCTGTTCGACGAAATTCCAAAACCAACAATTATTCAAGAACTCTAAAGGAAACAAGGAAAAAATTAGAGGGTTGACTATTATGGGAAAATGGGTGCTCATTGATCTTACCTTGTACAGGAAAAGGAGGGTGAAGAGGGCTAAAGCGAGTAGGGAAGGGAGGAGATAGGAGGGTGATCGAGGGGGTGAGAGTCTCAACAGAGCCACCATTGTAATTGGGTTGGAGACCAGTTAGAACACAAGAGGGAGAAGGAGAAGAAGGGGTCGTGGTTTTAGGAAAAAGGGAAGAGGGAAGGAGAGATCAATGTCACTTTCAAATGGCGGGTAGTTAGCCTATTTGGTATACAAATTTTATGATATCTCTCCTTTTATTGGGAGATTCACCTCAACTTTCTAAGCCAGAGATGTCTCCCCGCTTTTCTCTCTGCTCGACTGATTTAATTGTTTGCTTTTTTTCCACCTTCGTCGTAGTCAATCCATTTTCGGCAACATCTCTTCTTTCTCCTGCACCATCACTTGCTACTTTAACCGACGACGAGAATTCATTTTCTCGATGAAATGTTGTACACTGAAAAGCTTCCTCTAGTGCCCAACCATGTCCTAGGTACTGTCATAAAATATTAAATAAATACGTGTCTGTGTTTAGTTGTTTGACAAAAAAAAAATTTAAAAGAAGTGTTTGACAAAATTTTCAATTCCAATTCTTGAAAAAAATAAGTTCAACACCAAAACGAGAAGTTTTTTTTTACAGTAAGGTCTCCAAATCCGAACGTCATGAATTTTTTTTTTGATTCCGCATAACTTTTCAAGATCTACAACTTTTAACATAATCATAAATTCAAAATGTACATGGATTTGTGAAAAGTAAAGGTAAAGTTATTCCCAAGGTACCCGTATATCCACAACTAATTCCTGTTTTGAAAATTTCATCCTAGTAAAAGTTGTAGATCTTGAAAAGTTATGCGGAATGAAAAAAAAATCGCTACGATCGGATACCCGAGTGCAAAGTTACGTTCGTTTGAAATTTCAGCCGAAGTTAGGAGTTGAGCGGGGAAAAAAAAATTTGGACCAAGCCGCTGGGTGGGGTGGCGGTTTTGGGCCAAACCACCACCTCACCCAGCGGTTTGGTCCAAATTTTTTTTTATAACCGCCCCTAGGCCCGCGATTTGCATAGAAAACCGCGCCCCCGCCCAGCGGTTTTCGTGTAAACCGCAGGGTGGGTTGGCGGTTTTTGAAAAAGGGTGGTATTTTTGGAATTTTTTGGGGTTGGGTGGTATTTTTGGAATTCTTTTTTTAAACAGTGGTACTTTTGGATTATTTCCTAGATTTAGAGTATCAAAATTATTCATGCATGTTAGGATTAATGTTTTAAGGCAAATAACAATTATTTTTTTTGGTTATTGGTTCAATTTTTGTGTGGTTGACTAAACAAATTATTCATTTTTCGTTGAGTGTGGTCTATCTGGACCAGACCAGACCGAACCAGACCGCACAGGCGTGGTCTGGACCGGACCGGATAGTATGTGGTCTGGTCTGTGGTCTATACTTTGTTTAGTCAACCCATCGGCAGACTCCCTTCGACCACCTGCAAAAAATATATAACTGCACTGATACGTTGTACCACTGCACTGGTAGGATATCAGTGCAATGGTACCAATGTCATATATGAGTATCAGTGCAGTGGTACAAATACCAATACAGTGGTACAACATATCAGTGCAGTGATATATTTTCGCAGGTGACCGGAGAGAGTCTATCGGCGGGATTTTACCGACGAAGTGTGGTGGTTGGAGGAAACTTGGTCGTCGGAGGCTATTGGGAAAGGAAGAATCAGAGATAGGAGTGGGAAACATCAAAGATGAGAGATAGAATTGTATTTTGTATATGTTTAGATTTTTTATAAAAAATAAGTAATTAATGTGGTGTATTTAATGCTTACTTTGTATTTAATAACAAAACATTTATTATATTTACCTTTATTAATACTTGTCAATGATTAATGAAAAAGTTGACCAATTGAAATTGAGGTGTCAAAAAACCAACCCTTTTAATTTTTTTTTTTTTTGGTAGAAAATGGGACGCTAAAAGGGCGTCCCTGCCTGGCACTTAAATTAATCGATTTTGGGCAATACCCATAATGTCATACAAGATCCAAAAATTCAACCCAGGATCTGAAAAATCAATCCTATGAGTTCCCAGACTAATAGAATGACCCTTGTTAGCGAGGTAATCCGCCGCTTTATTACATTCTCTGTAAATATGAGAAGTTTGAACTTCCCAGTCTTTCCGAAGTAACTCCTGGAATTGGGCAATGAGTTTGTAATACTTATTTCTTCTCCCATCCTTAGTATTTCCGAAATAAAACCAACCCTTTTAAGGGTAGGCATAGTATCCTACCCCTTATTTGCTGGTTTGAATTTCCGAATTCTGAAATCAATGGCTTGGAAGCTTAGTTTTTATTACTTAACTCAAATTGGTGGTTTTATTTCAGCACTTGAAATAAAAAAGAAATTTAGATTGGTTTGATATGGTTCAAATGATCTGGGTTTGACTCTATCATTAGCGAGTTCTGTATTTTTGTGATGGTTCAATGAGACTCAAATATGGGAAACTGTGTTGTGGTGTTCATGATAAATTTTGTGGGTTTTGAGGTTCATGGTCTGAAAACTCAGATCTGATATTTTGATCAATGGGGGGTTTCGAACGGTTATGATTGTTTGGTAAAGATATGAATGAATATGGAAATTAAGTGTTTATAACTGGATTTTTGTGCGAATCTGGTGTTTTGTAAATCTGAGATTTCTATGAGCTTATAGTGGCTTCTGTCTTTAGATGTTAGCTTGATGCAGCATAAGATAGAAATATTAAACAAACTTAAACATTCTAAGCTGGAAAAGATAGAAAATAAATATGATGTTTTGTTGTGATATGCTTAAACATGTATATGCATCAATGGTAAGACCACAAAACAGTCACAGATCTGATTTCGGTTGCCTTGGTTCGTTAAAGTCGTTACTACCATGTCGTAGTTTGCTCGAAAATCAATTGTGTTTGACACCTTTGGTACGAAGTAAGCCAATGGTTTTGTTGGATAGATTTTCTTAAAAGAAAATACAAACTTGTAACCAGATGATTATAAGTGATGCAAGATAGAGATTATGAGATTTACTTCCGGTTACCAACCTCTGTTTGTAGTTTGGGGAGGGTTCCGACCTTTGATGAAGTCTCCTGGAGTGCTCTTTCTGCTTCTTCTGCAACCTTCAGCCTGATCCGTCTGTTTTTTTTTTTTTTTTTTTTGTTGCTGTGATCTTGCTGTGGGATGTTTGTTTGTGGGTCTTTTAATTTCTTGCTTGTCAAACAAAGGCAGAAAGTGTTGTGTGGTTTGGTGGCTTGTTTGCTTGTGAAATCTGTCGGAAAACAATGAAAGAGCCAAGAAGGTTGTTGCTTTTCAGTGTTTTTCTAACTCCTGATCTGCCATTTCTCTAGGTTGCTTCGGCTGCTTTTGTGTTTCTCTAGGGTTTCTGCCGCCATTTTCTTGGGTTTTCTCTTGCTACCCTCAAACAAAGAGCCAAGTGATTCTCAAGTTTCTGTCTTCCTATTGGCTGCTTGATGATATTGATGATTTCTTATTGGCTATTGGGGGATTGCCCCCATCTGTTGCAATAGTTGCCCTCTGTTGGACATGGACCAGGTTTGGATCATAGGTCAAACCGATCGAGTTTGATTCAGGCTTAACCAGGCTGATCGGACCTCACTGTTGGGCTTTGACTTTGGTTGACTGGCTTGGCTTTGTGGCCCGAGTTGAGTTGGGCCTGAGCGGGCCTGAATGGACCTGGTTCTATTACTTTTTTATATTTGGTCATTCGGTTTGGGCCTGACTGCTGAGTTTGATTTGGCTCTTTTAATTTTACACTAGTAGTTTAGACATTGTAATTTAATTTATGTTTATTGTAATTATTATTTGGTAATTATAAATTTATAATAAAATTGATATGAATTGGACTTTTAATAAAAAAAGTTTTATTTTGTTATATTTCGTTCCAAAAGTCAAGGCCCAACCTTGCTAAGCTCAACGCCTTAAGAATCAATTTGATTGATAAATTTCACGTGACAATCAAAGTCGAGTGCATCCTTAATTCGTCTAAATAAAGGCAAAACACGCAACTCAAACTATTCAATTATGGCCATCGAGATTTGTTATCGTTTAATCTCCAATGAGTTATGGCAAACAAGACCCTTCCCCAATACTACAAATACTTTTTAGCTAGTAGTTCATTTAAAATTTTTATTGCAAACCCTAAACAAAAATAAATTATTAAGTTAAATATGTTTCAACCCAGACAAAAAAGTTGTGTCTACAGCAAGGAAGCAGGAGGAAGTGTCCACCCAAGGAGAGAAGGAGAATTGAAGAAAGTCATTGATGGCTACTCAAATCAACACAAAGGACACATCTCATGTCACGGAGGAGGACAAAGACAATCACACAACCTCAGCGAAGGAGATGACCATTCATAAAGAAGCATCTTCTTGACAACTCTAATGCTGTAGAGATTGATAGATGCTTTGGAAGGAGAAGAGAATGTCATGTCACTACTGGAGAGCATTGCTGCTACGGAGAGTCCAAGAAAAAAGCTCTAGCAACTTCTGGAGAAGGAGAAGTTGGAAAAGACCAGGATCAACTCAACTGCTTATGAAAATAAAGAACTCATTCGAGTATACAAAGAAAAAAAAGATTCTAGTTATTGCACGATCAATTGTTTCCTATATGACAATTTTCTAGAGCAATGGTTAGTGGATCTTGTTTCTTGTATCAATATACTACCGCTTCCACTCTATGAAGATTTAGGTATCGCCGACATAGATGAGATACAAATAGAGATCGAGATAGCAGACAACACCCCATGTCAACATCTTGGAGTAGTTCGAGGATTGAGTACCCAAAACGGGTCATTCGTCTTCTTTCTAGATTACGTGGTGATCGGGATGGAGATATAGATCCCGTACTCCTTGATCTTTGGTAGACCATTTCTGGTCAATGCCGGTGCCATGATCAATGCGGTAAAAGGAGAAATCACAATACAAGTGGGAGATGTCATGCATCGAATAGTGTAGTTTATTGAAGATGAAGTAACAAAGAAGCCCATTGGTGATGATGATTTCGAGGAGAATGAAGAGGCGAAGCAGGAGATAGAGATCAAGTTCATAACATGATCTCTATATGAGGATTCCGTACATGGAACAATCATCATAATGATGAAGACCTAGTATGGGGACACAAGTTGAAAGAAGCTCTACCAACTCCGATTTGAAGCTAGCACATATGGCGCTCAAGATAGCCAGTACAAGGACAAATATGTTGCTAGAGAAGATCAAGGAGCTGGAGTACAAAGCATTGGAGGACTTTCAAGAGTTCGTGCCATCATGGTTTCAATCCACATCCCATGGAGCCAACAACGATGGATGTAACTGGGTGGTATGATGAATGAACGTCAAAAATCGATTGGTCATCCGATGAGAGCATGTTTTTTGAATGGGAGTAACATCTACCTCCATAAACTATAAAAGTGCTAGTAGCCTAAGCCCTTATTTTGAAATTTGAATGACAAATGAAGTAACTCGTTTTAAACTTTTACATAACTCACTATCTTTTAGTCCATAGAGGACAATGTTCATTTTCAAGTGTGGGGTGGAATTGGGTGCTTACTTGATTGTACTTGATACATGATAAATCCTTAGTTGTTCAAAATTCGAAGGTTTCGATCCAAAATCTAGTAGTAATGATCCATTTAAAAAAAATCAAAAGATATTTTCCACCTAATGACTTTTAGTACTCCCTTATAAGCTTTTCACTACTCATCTTACTTTAAATCAATGAGTCTAGAGAATCTCATTCAATCTAGGGAGGATAGTGTAGTGACTACGAAGGATCCGATAGTTAATGAGATATAATTACCATTTCATGTGCTTGAATGCTATGTTGTTTGATTCATACAACATAGCATTTCATTCATGTTGGTAAATGATTCATTCATTTAGTTCACAAACACAAGCATCATGACCATTCTAGTTATGCAAAGGAGTCTCACGTTTTAAAAGTTTTTCAAATGGTGAACTATATCTTTATAAACTAATTATCAAGACATTGGTACCGTTCGAAATTTGTCATGCTATGTTGATAAATGAAGTGTGGGGTAAGATCAATGTGTGAGGCATCTTTTCATTGCACAACTTAAGGATGTGTTCTTAAGGACACGGATAAAGCTTTCGACACCCCTTAATTTCATTGACCCTCCACCGAGTTGAGGTATAGGAGCTTCTAGATCTTGATCAACCATAAGTGTAAAGCTATAAAGAGCTCTCCACACAAGAAAAGTCTAGAAAAATAAAATTAGAAAATAGTTGTTTGCAAGAGAGAAAAAATCGAGAAAATCAAAAGAGGTCGTATTTTTGAAGGAAAAAGTGCTTAGAGGTTATGTCAAGTTGATGGTAAAAGGATTCAAACTTCCAAAATGTTTATCAAAATTCAAAAGCTTCGCCCTTGTGTTTTGAAACTCTAATGCATGGTTAGTTGTTATGCTTAGATTGGATTACATTATGTTCTTGTATGTTGATGTCGTTAGGGTTCTCTCTACTATTGTTGACCTTGTAAGTTGCCTATGATCCACTAACTAAGATCGAGATCAAGTGATGTTTTTTGGTATTTATTCAGTTGCATGAATGTGAGCAGTGTTTGCTTGAGGACAAGCAATTACAAGTGTGTGGTATTTTATTACACTTTATTTTTAGTGTTTGTCCGTTCTTGATATACTTTTCCCTTTTATCAATGCATCTTTAGTAATTTTGATTATATTTATTATGTATTCATAACTATTTGATTTACAAGCTTATGATAGACCTTGAGTGTATTTTTGTACGATGCCTTTATGACATTTTTTGTGCTTTTCAGGGATAAAATGCACCCAAGACGAATTTAGATTATCAAGGGACCCAATTGATTGTAATGAGGACGAGAATGAAAGCTCATGAGCCCAAACTGAGATGGATTTGGAAATTGGATGCTCACTTTATGGCCAAAACAAGTTGACCTGGTAGTACAACAGACCCAACATAAACCAAGATTCAAACGGAGCTATACAAGTCAAGATGTGCCCAAGTTTGGAGGAGAGGCTGCCTGTAGGCAAAGCTACCTAGCCCAATTAAAAAGGAACATAGGCCCTAACCGTCGTACCCCTGATGCTCAAACCCTAATCCTTCAGAAAGTTTCGCGAATAAGTTACTTCATCCCCAAGTCGAAGGAATCCTAGTTCAAGTCCTACAATGAAGGTTTAGGCCGACTTTAGGAGGAAAAAAACTAGAAATCCCCTTATGTAACTAGCATAAATAGGATACTAGGCTATAGCTTTTATACAACATCTCTTACGAAAACTCTGTCATAGGACATGAATAGCACTCCATAGAGAGGAGGAAAGTTGTTGTTGAAATTCGATGGAGAAGCATCCATCAACCACTACAAGACAACTATCGTTTTGATCGGGTTATTTCTAATGTTTTGTGTCAATTCACTTAATCGACACCAAACCTGCCTACACTAGAGTCGACATTTAGATTGCATATATCATTATATGCAATAAATTTGCTTCCAAATGTGTATGGTACTCGAGGCGCATGTATGCATATGCTTCATACCTGTCACATCCACCCATGCATAAGCATCTCGATACCAAAGGCACGGCGAGGCAAATTTGGATAAACACTCTTATTCGTAATCAAGAATCAACTCTTGATTCCGGCAACACATGGGATGCTTGGTCCAACACGTGGTCTAATCCTACCTTGTGTCAAGCCTCTCGCTCGATGTCTGAAATCAACAAGGACCCTACAGATTTCTCCCTTGAGGCATCATGTCGTTCGACCAATTTAGGATCGATCGAGTAGGACTGCTATTTCTAGAGTCTCCTCATATGCTTCTGGTCTCGTGAGGTCTGGAGGTGCCTTGGGGGCAGAGCAACCCCTCTGAAATTCTAATCAATTTGGAGCTTCCCAAGACCTATTTATATGCCTAGGATTAAGGTTTGGGAGAGGAATTCGTCCTTCCACATCGTTCAGCTAATCAAAACTCTCCAAACACGTGGAAAATGAATCAAGAGACACTAGGGTGGCTTTATGACGAATTAGGGGCTTCCTCCAAAAGGGGGCCCAAAAGTGAAAATTCCCAGTCTAGGTTGTTGATGTTGACTGCTTCAAACTGCTAACTCGTCCGAACTCCTAATCAAGCCTCGTTTGATCTCAGACGCTCATATTTTTGTCCTCTTTCATATCATGATGAGCTTACTCGACTACCAAGTGGTCCACTAGTCTGATTTGACCTGAAAATTGCACAAAACGCTACCAAAGCGTATCAATTGTATAAAAGCAATTCTAGTGTTTCTAAAACACACTTGAAGCAGTCATGACAATAATTCAATGTATTATGATGACAATTATGAGAAATGTATGCACTTTAGTCTTTAGGTCACAATATAGGAGTCTATAATAAATACTTTCACGTTTCATCACTTATCATTATTATACCAACATCATATCACTTGATAAATACATCTACACCAAAGCAATCAAGTCTACTCGACCAACTTCAACAACAACATTGGTGCGAGATTATTCTACTCAAAATAAATACTCTGCTAACACGTCTAGTCTTGGACGTGGAGTATGTTAACCTCAATTGCAAGCTTATTTGGCAGAGTATTTCCCATCTTTGGAGTCTAATTCATTTGTGGGCCAAGAGGTTAACATAATCCACGTCCAAGAGTAGAAAGAAAAACCAGAAGAGTCCAAAGAAGTACATTCTTGATACCAAAGCCGTCCATACCTATTGCCCAAGTTGTCCTTACACGAAAAGGAGAAGGAAAGAGATTGCTTAACTTCTAACGAGTTATTGTTTTTCCTAGTTAGTTGAGACTTGGTATACCCCTTTTTATGACCTTTATAAATATGTTTTACCTCTAGGCGAGTCAACTTTTGATCAATTAAAACCCCTTATTTGAGTGTTCATTTTTGAAACTATTTTATGCTCCTTAGTTCGTTCGTGGAAGCGATCCATCTAGAAGAAACCAACGTTATCAGCTAGTCAATCAATATAATTATAGAGTCACTTGGTATACTTGCCACTTACCCAATTGTGGCTTTTGTTTCAATTATTTTTTGCTTCCTTTGCTCTTTGTTTTGTTAATTGTTTTTTGCTGCATATTCTTATTGCTTAAGGCCAAGAGTTCGAATCGCAGCTTATATCACCACTAGATAACACATCATAATACCATCTCACTATTTTTATAGCATGATCTTACCACTATGGTTAGACTGACAACACCATCATAGCACTAAAATATCATGATATTACCATAGTGATAATATCACGATGACAATGGTAAGACGGCGTGAAATTTTTTTATATCACCACTATGGTAACACTTCATAATAGTGTCTCGCTATTTTTATAGCATAATCTTACCGCTATGGTAATATCATGATATGACAATAGTAAGATGGCATGAAAGTTTTTGCTAAAAAAACATCAAAATTGATATTATATTGTAGAGCACAAAAAAACTCTGATTTTTCTACTTGCACAATTTTTTGAAATTCAAAACGAATGATACATAGTCTATTTAAAATTTGTAGGAGATTTAAAAAGTATATTATCTGTCGCATAAAGACCCACAACAGCCCTAAAAAATCTGCATAGTTATCCCCCAAACCCCTACTTTCCCACATTTTCTCTTTCCGAAGATGATCGTTAGATCACAACTTCTCCAATCTCAACCGTCCATATATGATTTTGTAGTACTACGTAATAGGAGGGCTTTGTACTATAACATATCCTATTAAAATGTCATGGGATAGGTTGTAACAGAAACCCCACCTATTTTGTACTACGACAAAACCACATGTGGATGGTTGAGATTGGAGAAGGTTTGATCTAATAGTCATTGCATAAGGTAAGGAGGGAAAGCTCGGGTTTAGAGTACATTTTGGCAGACTTTTGGAACTGGCGCAGGTCTCTAAACGACAGTAAATGTACTTTGTAAATCTACTGCGACTATTCAATGGACGATATCTCATTCGTTTTTGAATCGGATTTCAAAAATATTGCGTAGAAAAATCAAAACATTTGTGCTCTACAAGATGATATTTTTTTTAGCAAAAATTTTTACTCATCTTATCACTGTCATATCATGATGTTATCGCTATGGTAATATGTCTAGGACTGATAAACTATCTGGTTACAATTTAACCAAACCAACGGGTTGGTTAGCCTAGATGAGAAAGGGTCGAAACCTCCAACCAAAGCCAACACCAACACTCCAACGAGGCAACGACGCTTCATCCAGTTCGATTGGTCGGTTATTCTGTAACCTAGTAGTTCCCCTCGACATTCTCGACTCTCAATCCTTCTCTACCTCTTCTACCCTTTCCTCTCTCCAAAATAACAAGAACAACAATCATCTCCCTTCACCATTCCCAATCTCTCTAGCTCTCTCTCTCTCTCTCTTTGCTTCCCTCTCCCTTCACCAAAACAACAAGAGAAAATCATTACAAATTGTCAAACGTCGTAGACTCGTTCCTTTGCTCTCACTCCTACCATCAATCTTCACCACACTAGCTAGCTACTCTATTATCCTTCTTTGCCTTCTGACAAAGCCAAAAGTGGTTGGATCTGGACCATCTCTACTTTCTTGTCGACTCCTTTCTCTACTCTCACTTTACGGCGACCTCCTTTCGTGTTTGCTTCTCTTCCTTCAAGCGGAGTTGTGGCTGGATCTTGTCGTTGCCACATGCCAATTTGTAAGGAAGACAACGCGGGGACCGCTAAGGATGAAAAGGTCAAGCGAGCTTGTGATGGAGAGTTTAGGTGATAGGTGGGAGAAGAATAGAGTTGGAAATGGAAGGAAGGGGAGAGATCAACGAGATCAAGAAAGGCAAGCGGTGAGTTTGGGATAGAGAGGTCGAGATGAACTATTGCATTAAGGGTCGTTTCATTCTCCAATGTGGATCTGGAAATTGGAATGTAGATTGATGTTGAGAACGAAGAGAAGAATCTAGATAGGGAAGGAAGAGCTATGGCGTCGTTGTTTGTGTGACTGGGTTCAGCTGGCGGGTTAGTTACCGGTGACCCGAATAAACGTCGCTTAGTAACCAATAACTGGCGGTTGCAAATAACCTTAAATTTCCCAGTCGAAGTCGAGACATAGACCTTTTTATCGGTTTTCGGTTAGCCGAATAACCATGGTTTTCGGTTCGGTTTTTCGATTACCCGACTAACCAACAATCAATTATCAGCCCTAATCTGCATAATGGTAAAATCATTGTATGGATGTAGTAAGATTATATTATGAACTCTTACCATAGTATTTGATGTTAGTATGAGTGTATGACAATGGTAAGACAGTATGAAGTCTTATCTTTGAGAAAAAAATTGATGTTATAGTGTTATATCACAGTGGTAAGATCATGATATGATAGGATAAGATGAAAGTAAACACATGTTTTTCAATGGATAATTATTATTTTGCTTAAAATATAACAAAATGAATATCACTGTCTGGATCATAATTAATGAATTCTTTCTAAAAGTTAAAACAAGAGAAATATACCATCATACCACTTAATATCATAATGATATAATAGTGATAGTACTAAAACGAACATGTATTTTGAAGAGTTCGTTTTTGTTTTGCTCAAAATATCATTGTGTATATCTTAATTAATAAATTATTTCTATGCAAAAAAAATTAATTTATAGTTACAACGAATGGGATATAATTAGATAAAGATATATGATTATATAGTGAGATATATGATTAGATAATGAGATATGATTATTCGGAAAAAAAGTAGTATTTGATTGATCAAAATGTTGGAGGAAATCAGCGATTGCATAATCTTCATCGCTAAAAATGGAAGTCGAAAAAGGACAATCTAATGAAAGAAAAGGAAGGTATCAAATCAGTGGAAATTCGATTTTGAATTTCCTTATGATGAAGTCCAGCAACGGCTAGAAGCTTCATATATATATACTTGTGGTTGCCTACTGTTTTTTTTGGGATCTTCGGGTGGCAAGCGGCATAGGGCTTGTAGGCAAAGAGGGTTAATCGTGATAGAGGAATAGGTTCTATCAGATTAACGGATGTAACGGGTCTGGGATTTTGGATCTGGGTTCTTATATTTTTGTTCTTGTTATCTTAGTTCTTGAGTCTGCATCCTTCTATTATTCGAATGCTTGATAGGAAAAACAAAATAAAAAGTGTCTCCTAGCAATCAGTGGGTACTGATTCTAGGACGAGGACTGACCCATATCTTGGGGAACCTCGTTAAAATCGATTGTGTCATTTCCTTTCTGCCTTTCATTGTTCGTTCTCTTCTCTGCTCTGTTTCTGGGTTTCATACTTGTAGAACAGATCATGATCTAAGCCTTCTTGGAAATTCTAAGCAAAGCTTCACGCTTAATTCAAGTAGGCCTAGTGACAATTTATGTTCTATTGGATAGTAGTTTTTATTTTCTTCTATTGGGCTCAGTCAGTTTAAGCCCATCTTAGAGAGCAAAGGGTAGTGACGAGAGAATCCTTTGATTCTCTTCCATTCATCATCTTCCTTCGTTTTTTTTTTTTCTCGCAAAAATCAATTCAAAATCCCTAGAAATTCAGGCCAGTTTACAATTGGTATCAGAGCCTCACCTTGAGAGAGCTCACTACTGCCTAGGAAAACGATCCATGGCTACATCATCTTCGTTTTCGTTTGGTTCTGCTCCGTGGTTTACAGGTTCTAACTACACAGCATGGAAAAGACGGATGCAGAACTTTCTCTGGGGAATCGATGAAGGTTTGTGGTCTGTTGTCCGTGATGGGCCACTTGAAATGAATCCAGAGGAGCAGAATACATGGACGGCAGAACAGAGGAAGAGCGCACAGCTCAATTGCAGAGCGATGCACATCCTGCAGAGCGCTATGAGTACCGATGAAGTTGAGTGGGTTGTACATAGTGAATCGGCAAAGGAAATCTGGCAAGTTTTGGAGAACACCTATGAGGGAACCTCCAACATCAAAGAAACGAGGATCGATCTTCTTCTACACGACTATGAAGATTTTGTTATGGATTCAGGTGAGAGTATCCATCACATGTATTCCAGATTTACTAGTTTAATTAATCAGCTTAAAGGATTAGGAAAAACCCTTCCATCTACGGAATTAAATCGAAAAATTTTGCGTTCCCTTCCGAAAGAATGGCTTCCAAAAAGGATAGCCATTGAGGAAGCAAAGGACCTTCAAATTCTGTCGGTTGATGAATTAATAGGTTCTTTGATGAGTTATGAACACGTCATTCAACAAGTTGCTAGAGATGACAAAAAGCGTGCCCGTAATTTGGCTTTCAAATCCCAAACTTTTGATTGTGATTCTGATAGTGAAGCAAATATTGATTTTGAAAAGGAGTTTTCTTTAGTTAGTAGAAAATTCCACCAAATGCTCAAATATAAAAATGAGCAAAAGAAGCAGCGTAGATGTGATACTGAGAGCTTTAATTCTTATGATCATAACCAATCAATTTCCCAAGATAGGCTGCTTGTACAGCAGACCAGAGTTTCAAATGCAGGAACACAAGAAAAAGAACCTCAAGCGTGCTATAAATGCGGGAAGAATGGACATATTCGTGCAAAATGTCCTCGGAGTTCAAAGTCAAAAGAACGCAGGATTGTGGCTACCTGGAGTGACTGCGAATCCAGATCAGATATTGACAAAATCAATGAAGAAGCATATATGGCGTTCTCTATTGAAACTGAAACAGGTACATCCATTACTAATCAGGAGCTCTCCTTGAAATCAGATCATATAGAGGTGCAACCATACGCTGAATCATCCAAGGTAAATTCTAAAAATTTCTTGTATGTTTTGAAAAACTTAGAGGATGAGTGTCGTAGCTTAAAAATTAAGTGTTGTTGTCTTCAGGAAGAGGTTCGTAAAAAGGCTGCTGATGTAGTGAACCTTACTAGAACCATAGAATTAAACAACATAAAATTTGTTGAGCTGCAACGTGAGAATGATGTTCTTAGAATGGACAAGGATCGCCTATACAAATTATTAGAGCACAAATCACTTTCTGTCTCCTCCTTTGGTAGCAAGTCAAACATTATTTCAACCTTCAAAGAACCTACCAAAGCTATAAAGCACCTTGTTAGTCGACCTCAGTCCCATTATGCTAAGATTTTCAGTAGAAATCATTCAAGCTCAAATATTAGCCACAAGCACAATAGAACAAAATATGATAAGAAAAGGACAACCTTCAGATCTAGCAGTTCTCATCATATTAGCTACAATAGGGCTGGTTTATTAAATTGTTCTGCTTGTTTACAGCGTGGTCATGTTAGTCAATATTGTTATGTTTACTCTCGACATTGGAAACCCATACTCAAACAAGTTTGGGTTCGAAAGAAAACTAATATTTGATATTCCAGAGTTGGGAGTCGAATGATGCATTTGATTCCTCGTTAGCGGGTGCTCCCACCACATGACGACTAATGCATTATCTTTTGTTTTCTCTAAATAAAGGTAAGGTTTCTTTGGAAAAATTGGATGTAAATTGATTAGTTATTTTCTCAGCCAGTATTTACTTTTATGATAGTTGTTGCTAGGTTCAGCTTGCAGCATCTTCTCCAATTAAATTTAAATAGGACAATTGATCATGACTTAATGTCCTTTATCATTATGGGTAGAAGTAAAACGTGAAATTCCTTGTTGATGCACTGCAAGTGTACCTTTCGATCATTCTTTTTGTGTTTGGTAGAGTTAGTGTAGTAACAGTTAGAGTACGTGGGACTGTTTTCATCATTTATTTGATTATTTGGGAATGAGATTGCAAATTGAGGGGGAGATACTCCTGCAGTTAGTGAAGAATAGTAGGGGAGTTTGCTCCAATATCTTGTTTATTATTCCTATTATTCCTCTTATTGTGACGCCCTGCTGTTTACATGCAAAGGAAGGGCTGCTAGTAAATTTGTCTGTGATTGAATCAAGTTCTACTTGTGGTTCAGCCGGTAATGAACTTGTTTGAGCTTAGGGGAGACTATGACTAGAACTGATGTGCTTCTATGTTTCAGGTTATATGATGTGGCTTTCTATGTTTCAATAATTTGTTGGGAAAGGTATTTGATTTTGTGTGCAGATAGTTAGCAATTCGCAATCTCTGATTTAGGGGGAGATTGTTGGAGGAAATCAGCGATTGCATAATCTTCATCGCTAAAAATGGAAGTCGAAAAAGGACAATCTAATGAAAGAAAAGGAAGGTATCAAATCAGTGGAAATTCGATTTTGAATTTCCTTATGATGAAGTCCAGCAACGGCTAGAAGCTTCATATATATATACTTGTGGTTGCCTACTGTTTTTTTTGGGATCTTCGGGTGGCAAGCGGCATAGGGCTTGTAGGCAAAGAGGGTTAATCGTGATAGAGGAATAGGTTCTATCAGATTAACGGATGTAACGGGTCTGGGATTTTGGATCTGGGTTCTTATATTTTTGTTCTTGTTATCTTAGTTCTTGAGTCTGCATCCTTCTATTATTCGAATGCTTGATAGGAAAAACAAAATAAAAAGTGTCTCCTAGCAATCAGTGGGTACTGATTCTAGGACGAGGACTGACCCATATCTTGGGGAACCTCGTTAAAATCGATTGTGTCATTTCCTTTCTGCCTTTCATTGTTCGTTCTCTTCTCTGCTTTGTTTCTGGGTTTCATACTTGTAGAACAGATCATGATCTAAGCCTTCTTGGAAATTCTAAGCAAAGCTTCACGCTTAATTCAAGTAGGCCTAGTGACAATTTATGTTCTATTGGATAGTAGTTTTTATTTTCTTCTATTGGGCTCAGTCAGTTTAAGCCCATCTTAGAGAGCAAAGGGTAGTGACGAGAGAATCCTTTGATTCTCTTCCATTCATCATCTTCCTTCGTTTTTTTTTCCGCAAAAATCAATTCAAAATCCCTAGAAATTCAGGCCAGTTTACAATTGGTATCAGAGCCTCACCTTGAGAGAGCTCACTACTGCCAAGGAAAACGATCCATGGCTACATCATCTTCGTTTTCGTTTGGTTCTGCTCCGTGGTTTACAGGTTCTAACTACACAGCATGGAAAAGACGGATGCAGAACTTTCTCTGGGGAATCGATGAAGGTTTGTGGTCTGTTGTCCGTGATGGGCCACTTGAAATGAATCCAGAGGAGCAGAATACATGGACGGCAGAACAGAGGAAGAGCGCACAGCTCAATTGCAGAGCGATGCACATCCTGCAGAGCGCTATGAGTACCGATGAAGTTGAGTGGGTTGTACATAGTGAATCGGCAAAGGAAATCTGGCAAGTTTTGGAGAACACCTATGAGGGAACCTCCAACATCAAAGAAACGAGGATCGATCTTCTTCTACACGACTATGAAGATTTTGTTATGGATTCAGGTGAGAGTATCCATCACATGTATTCCAGATTTACTAGTTTAATTAATCAGCTTAAAGGATTAGGAAAAACCCTTCCATCTACGGAATTAAATCGAAAAATTTTGCGTTCCCTTCCGAAAGAATGGCTTCCAAAAAGGATAGCCATTGAGGAAGCAAAGGACCTTCAAATTCTGTCGGTTGATGAATTAATAGGTTCTTTGATGAGTTATGAACACGTCATTCAACAAGTTGCTAGAGATGACAAAAAGCGTGCCCGTAATTTGGCTTTCAAATCCCAAACTTTTGATTGTGATTCTGATAGTGAAGCAAATATTGATTTTGAAAAGGAGTTTGCTTTAGTTAGTAGAAAATTCCACCAAATGCTCAAATATAAAAATGAGCAAAAGAAGCAGCGTAGATGTGATACTGAGAGCTTTAATTCTTATGATCATAACCAATCAATTTCCCAAGATAGGCTGCTTGTACAGCAGACCAGAGTTTCAAATGCAGGAACACAAGAAAAAGAACCTCAAGCGTGCTATAAATGCGGGAAGAATGGACATATTCGTGCAAAATGTCCTCGGAGTTCAAAGTCAAAAGAACGCAGGATTGTGGCTACCTGGAGTGACTGCGAATCCAGATCAGATATTGACAAAATCAATGAAGAAGCATATATGGCGTTCTCTATTGAAACTGAAACAGGTACATCCATTACTAATCAGGAGCTCTCCTTGAAATCAGATCATATAGAGGTGCAACCATACGCTGAATCATCCAAGGTAAATTCTGAAAATTTCTTGTATGTTTTGAAAAACTTAGAGGATGAGTGTCGTAGCTTAAAAATTAAGTGTTGTTGTCTTCAGGAAGAGGTTCGTAAGAAGGCTGCTGATGTAGTGAACCTTACTAGAACCATAGAATTAAACAACATAAAATTTGTTGAGCTGCAACGTGAGAATGATGTTCTTAGAATGGACAAGGATCGCCTATACAAATTATTAGAGCACAAATCACTTTCTGTCTCCTCCTTTGGTAGCAAGTCAAACATTATTTCAACCTTCAAAGAACCTACCAAAGCTATAAAGCACCTTGTTAGTCGACCTCAGTCCCATTATGCTAAGATTTTCAGTAGAAATCATTCAAGCTCAAATATTAGCCACAAGCACAATAGAACAAAATATGATAAGAAAAGGACAACCTTCAGATCTAGCAGTTCTCATCATATTAGCTACAATAGGGCTGGTTTATTAAATTGTTCTGCTTGTTTACAGCGTGGTCATGTTAGTCAATATTGTTATGTTTACTCTCGACATTGGAAACCCATACTCAAACAAGTTTGGGTTCGAAAGAAAACTAATATTTGATATTCCAGAGTTGGGAGTCGAATGATGCATTTGATTCCTCGTTAGCGGGTGCTCCCACCACATGACGACTAATGCATTATCTTTTGTTTTCTCTAAATAAAGGTAAGGTTTCTTTGGAAAAATTGGATGTAAATTGATTAGTTATTTTCTCAGCCAGTATTTACTTTTATGATAGTTGTTGCTAGGTTCAGCTTGCAGCATCTTCTCCAATTAAATTTAAATAGGACAATTGATCATGACTTAATGTCCTTTATCATTATGGGTAGAAGTAAAACGTGAAATTCCTTGTTGATGCACTGCAAGTGTACCTTTCGATCATTCTTTTTGTGTTTGGTAGAGTTAGTGTAGTAACAGTTAGAGTACGTGGGACTGTTTTCATCATTTATTTGATTATTTGGGAATGAGATTGCAAATTGAGGGGGAGATACTCCTGCAGTTAGTGAAGAATAGTAGGGGAGTTTGCTCCAATATCTTGTTTATTATTCCTATTATTCCTCTTATTGTGACGCCCTGCTGTTTACATGCAAAGGAAGGGCTGCTAGTAAATTTGTCTGTGATTGAATCAAGTTCTACTTGTGGTTCAGCCGGTAATGAACTTGTTTGAGCTTAGGGGAGACTATGACTAGAACTGATGTGCTTCTATGTTTCAGGTTATATGATGTGGCTTTCTATGTTTCAATAATTTGTTGGGAAAGGTATTTGATTTTGTGTGCAGATAGTTAGCAATTCGCAATCTCTGATTTAGGGGGAGATTGTTGGAGGAAATCAGCGATTGCATAATCTTCATCGCTAAAAATGGAAGTCGAAAAAGGACAATCTAATGAAAGAAAAGGAAGGTATCAAATCAGTGGAAATTCGATTTTGAATTTCCTTATGATGAAGTCCAGCAACGGCTAGAAGCTTCATATATATATACTTGTGGTTGCCTACTGTTTTTTTTGGGATCTTCGGGTGGCAAGCGGCATAGGGCTTGTAGGCAAAGAGGGTTAATCGTGATAGAGGAATAGGTTCTATCAGATTAACGGATGTAACGGGTCTGGGATTTTGGATCTGGGTTCTTATATTTTTGTTCTTGTTATCTTAGTTCTTGAGTCTGCATCCTTCTATTATTCGAATGCTTGATAGGAAAAACAAAATAAAAAGTGTCTCCTAGCAATCAGTGGGTACTGATTCTAGGACGAGGACTGACCCATATCTTGGGGAACCTCGTTAAAATCGATTGTGTCATTTCCTTTCTGCCTTTCATTGTTCGTTCTCTTCTCTGCTTTGTTTCTGGGTTTCATACTTGTAGAACAGATCATGATCTAAGCCTTCTTGGAAATTCTAAGCAAAGCTTCACGCTTAATTCAAGTAGGCCTAGTGACAATTTATGTTCTATTGGATAGTAGTTTTTATTTTCTTCTATTGGGCTCAGTCAGTTTAAGCCCATCTTAGAGAGCAAAGGGTAGTGACGAGAGAATCCTTTGATTCTCTTCCATTCATCATCTTCCTTCGTTTTTTTTTCCGCAAAAATCAATTCAAAATCCCTAGAAATTCAGGCCAGTTTACAATTGGTATCAGAGCCTCACCTTGAGAGAGCTCACTACTACCAAGGAAAACGATCCATGGCTACATCATCTTCGTTTTCGTTTGGTTCTGCTCCGTGGTTTACAGGTTCTAACTACACAGCATGGAAAAGACGGATGCAGAACTTTCTCTGGGGAATCGATGAAGGTTTGTGGTCTGTTGTCCGTGATGGGCCACTTGAAATGAATCCAGAGGAGCAGAATACATGGACGGCAGAACAGAGGAAGAGCGCACAGCTCAATTGCAGAGCGATGCACATCCTGCAGAGCGCTATGAGTACCGATGAAGTTGAGTGGGTTGTACATAGTGAATCGGCAAAGGAAATCTGGCAAGTTTTGGAGAACACCTATGAGGGAACCTCCAACATCAAAGAAACGAGGATCGATCTTCTTCTACACGACTATGAAGATTTTGTTATGGATTCAGGTGAGAGTATCCATCACATGTATTCCAGATTTACTAGTTTAATTAATCAGCTTAAAGGATTAGGAAAAACCCTTCCATCTACGGAATTAAATCGAAAAATTTTGCGTTCCCTTCCGAAAGAATGGCTTCCAAAAAGGATAGCCATTGAGGAAGCAAAGGACCTTCAAATTCTGTCGGTTGATGAATTAATAGGTTCTTTGATGAGTTATGAACACGTCATTCAACAAGTTGCTAGAGATGACAAAAAGCGTGCCCGTAATTTGGCTTTCAAATCCCAAACTTTTGATTGTGATTCTGATAGTGAAGCAAATATTGATTTTGAAAAGGAGTTTGCTTTAGTTAGTAGAAAATTCCACCAAATGCTCAAATATAAAAATGAGCAAAAGAAGCAGCGTAGATGTGATACTGAGAGCTTTAATTCTTATGATCATAACCAATCAATTTCCCAAGATAGGCTGCTTGTACAGCAGACCAGAGTTTCAAATGCAGGAACACAAGAAAAAGAACCTCAAGCGTGCTATAAATGCGGGAAGAATGGACATATTCGTGCAAAATGTCCTCGGAGTTCAAAGTCAAAAGAACGCAGGATTGTGGCTACCTGGAGTGACTGCGAATCCAGATCAGATATTGACAAAATCAATGAAGAAGCATATATGGCGTTCTCTATTGAAACTGAAACAGGTACATCCATTACTAATCAGGAGCTCTCCTTGAAATCAGATCATATAGAGGTGCAACCATACGCTGAATCATCCAAGGTAAATTCTGAAAATTTCTTGTATGTTTTGAAAAACTTAGAGGATGAGTGTCGTAGCTTAAAAATTAAGTGTTGTTGTCTTCAGGAAGAGGTTCGTAAGAAGGCTGCTGATGTAGTGAACCTTACTAGAACCATAGAATTAAACAACATAAAATTTGTTGAGCTGCAACGTGAGAATGATGTTCTTAGAATGGACAAGGATCGCCTATACAAATTATTAGAGCACAAATCACTTTCTGTCTCCTCCTTTGGTAGCAAGTCAAACATTATTTCAACCTTCAAAGAACCTACCAAAGCTATAAAGCACCTTGTTAGTCGACCTCAGTCCCATTATGCTAAGATTTTCAGTAGAAATCATTCAAGCTCAAATATTAGCCACAAGCACAATAGAACAAAATATGATAAGAAAAGGACAACCTTCAGATCTAGCAGTTCTCATCATATTAGCTACAATAGGGCTGGTTTATTAAATTGTTCTGCTTGTTTACAGCGTGGTCATGTTAGTCAATATTGTTATGTTTACTCTCGACATTGGAAACCCATACTCAAACAAGTTTGGGTTCGAAAGAAAACTAATATTTGATATTCCAGAGTTGGGAGTCGAATGATGCATTTGATTCCTCGTTAGCGGGTGCTCCCACCACATGACGACTAATGCATTATCTTTTGTTTTCTCTAAATAAAGGTAAGGTTTCTTTGGAAAAATTGGATGTAAATTGATTAGTTATTTTCTCAGCCAGTATTTACTTTTATGATAGTTGTTGCTAGGTTCAGCTTGCAGCATCTTCTCCAATTAAATTTAAATAGGACAATTGATCATGACTTAATGTCCTTTATCATTATGGGTAGAAGTAAAACGTGAAATTCCTTGTTGATGCACTGCAAGTGTACCTTTCGATCATTCTTTTTGTGTTTGGTAGAGTTAGTGTAGTAACAGTTAGAGTACGTGGGACTGTTTTCATCATTTATTTGATTATTTGGGAATGAGATTGCAAATTGAGGGGGAGATACTCCTGCAGTTAGTGAAGAATAGTAGGGGAGTTTGCTCCAATATCTTGTTTATTATTCCTATTATTCCTCTTATTGTGACGCCCTGCTGTTTACATGCAAAGGAAGGGCTGCTAGTAAATTTGTCTGTGATTGAATCAAGTTCTACTTGTGGTTCAGCCGGTAATGAACTTGTTTGAGCTTAGGGGAGACTATGACTAGAACTGATGTGCTTCTATGTTTCAGGTTATATGATGTGGCTTTCTATGTTTCAATAATTTGTTGGGAAAGGTATTTGATTTTGTGTGCAGATAGTTAGCAATTCGCAATCTCTGATTTAGGGGGAGATTGTTGGAGGAAATCAGCGATTGCATAATCTTCATCGCTAAAAATGGAAGTCGAAAAAGGACAATCTAATGAAAGAAAAGGAAGGTATCAAATCAGTGGAAATTCGATTTTGAATTTCCTTATGATGAAGTCCAGCAACGGCTAGAAGCTTCATATATATACTTGTGGTTGCCTACTGTTTTTTTTGGGATCTTCGGGTGGCAAGCGGCATAGGGCTTGTAGGCAAAGAGGGTTAATCGTGATAGAGGAATAGGTTCTATCAGATTAACGGATGTAACGGGTCTGGGATTTTGGATCTGGGTTCTTATATTTTTGTTCTTGTTATCTTAGTTCTTGAGTCTGCATCCTTCTATTATTCGAATGCTTGATAGGAAAAACAAAATAAAAAGTGTCTCCTAGCAATCAGTGGGTACTGATTCTAGGACGAGGACTGACCCATATCTTGGGGAACCTCGTTAAAATCGATTGTGTCATTTCCTTTCTGCCTTTCATTGTTCGTTCTCTTCTCTGCTTTGTTTCTGGGTTTCATACTTGTAGAACAGATCATGATCTAAGCCTTCTTGGAAATTCTAAGCAAAGCTTCACGCTTAATTCAAGTAGGCCTAGTGACAATTTATGTTCTATTGGATAGTAGTTTTTATTTTCTTCTATTGGGCTCAGTCAGTTTAAGCCCATCTTAGAGAGCAAAGGGTAGTGACGAGAGAATCCTTTGATTCTCTTCCATTCATCATCTTCCTTCGTTTTTTTTTTCCGCAAAAATCAATTCAAAATCCCTAGAAATTCAGGCCAGTTTACAATTGGTATCAGAGCCTCACCTTGAGAGAGCTCACTACTACCAAGGAAAACGATCCATGGCTACATCATCTTCGTTTTCGTTTGGTTCTGCTCCGTGGTTTACAGGTTCTAACTACACAGCATGGAAAAGACGGATGCAGAACTTTCTCTGGGGAATCGATGAAGGTTTGTGGTCTGTTGTCCGTGATGGGCCACTTGAAATGAATCCAGAGGAGCAGAATACATGGACGGCAGAACAGAGGAAGAGCGCACAGCTCAATTGCAGAGCGATGCACATCCTGCAGAGCGCTATGAGTACCGATGAAGTTGAGTGGGTTGTACATAGTGAATCGGCAAAGGAAATCTGGCAAGTTTTGGAGAACACCTATGAGGGAACCTCCAACATCAAAGAAACGAGGATCGATCTTCTTCTACACGACTATGAAGATTTTGTTATGGATTCAGGTGAGAGTATCCATCACATGTATTCCAGATTTACTAGTTTAATTAATCAGCTTAAAGGATTAGGAAAAACCCTTCCATCTACGGAATTAAATCGAAAAATTTTGCGTTCCCTTCCGAAAGAATGGCTTCCAAAAAGGATAGCCATTGAGGAAGCAAAGGACCTTCAAATTCTGTCGGTTGATGAATTAATAGGTTCTTTGATGAGTTATGAACACGTCATTCAACAAGTTGCTAGAGATGACAAAAAGCGTGCCCGTAATTTGGCTTTCAAATCCCAAACTTTTGATTGTGATTCTGATAGTGAAGCAAATATTGATTTTGAAAAGGAGTTTTCTTTAGTTAGTAGAAAATTCCACCAAATGCTCAAATATAAAAATGAGCAAAAGAAGCAGCGTAGATGTGGTACTGAGAGCTTTAATTCTTATGATCATAACCAATCAATTTCCCAAGATAGGCTGCTTGTACAGCAGACCAGAGTTTCAAATGCAGGAACATAAGAAAAAGAACCTCAAGCGTGCTATAAATGCGGGAAGAATGGACATATTCGTGCAAAATGTCCTCGGAGTTCAAAGTCAAAAGAACGCAGGATTGTGGCTACCTGGAGTGACTGCGAATCCAGATCAGATATTGACAAAATCAATGAAGAAGCATATATGGCGTTCTCTATTGAAACTGAAACAGGTACATCCATTACTAATCAGGAGCTCTCCTTGAAATCAGATCATATAGAGGTGCAACCATACGCTGAATCATCCAAGGTAAATTCTGAAAATTTCTTGTATGTTTTGAAAAACTTAGAGGATGAGTGTCGTAGCTTAAAAATTAAGTGTTGTTGTCTTCAGGAAGAGGTTCGTAAAAAGGCTGCTGATGTAGTGAACCTTACTAGAACCATAGAATTAAACAACATAAAATTTGTTGAGCTGCAACGTGAGAATGATGTTCTTAGAATGGACAAGGATCGCCTATACAAATTATTAGAGCACAAATCACTTTCTGTCTCTTCCTTTGGTAGCAAGTCAAACATTATTTCAACCTTCAAAGAACCTACCAAAGCTATAAAGCACCTTGTTAGTCGACCTCAGTCCCATTATGCTAAGATTTTCAGTAGAAATCATTCAAGCTCAAATATTAGCCACAAGCACAATAGAACAAAATATGATAAGAAAAGGACAACCTTCAGATCTAGCAGTTCTCATCATATTAGCTACAATAGGGCTGGTTTATTAAATTGTTCTGCTTGTTTACAGCGTGGTCATGTTAGTCAATATTGTTATGTTTACTCTCGACATTGGAAACCCATACTCAAACAAGTTTGGGTTCGAAAGAAAACTAATATTTGATATTCCAGAGTTGGGAGTCGAATGATGCATTTGATTCCTCGTTAGCGGGTGCTCCCACCACATGACGACTAATGCATTATCTTTTGTTTTCTCTAAATAAAGGTAAGGTTTCTTTGGAAAAATTGGATGTAAATTGATTAGTTATTTTCTCAGCCAGTATTTACTTTTATGATAGTTGTTGCTAGGTTCAGCTTGCAGCATCTTCTCCAATTAAATTTAAATAGGACAATTGATCATGACTTAATGTCCTTTATCATTATGGGTAGAAGTAAAACGTGAAATTCCTTGTTGATGCACTGCAAGTGTACCTTTCGATCATTCTTTTTGTGTTTGGTAGAGTTAGTGTAGTAACAGTTAGAGTACGTGGGACTGTTTTCATCATTTATTTGATTATTTGGGAATGAGATTGCAAATTGAGGGGGAGATACTCCTGCAGTTAGTGAAGAATAGTAGGGGAGTTTGCTCCAATATCTTGTTTATTATTCCTATTATTCCTCTTATTGTGACGCCCTGCTGTTTACATGCAAAGGAAGGGCTGCTAGTAAATTTGTCTGTGATTGAATCAAGTTCTACTTGTGGTTCAGCCGGTAATGAACTTGTTTGAGCTTAGGGGAGACTATGACTAGAACTGATGTGCTTCTATGTTTCAGGTTATATGATGTGGCTTTCTATGTTTCAATAATTTGTTGGGAAAGGTATTTGATTTTGTGTGCAGATAGTTAGCAATTCGCAATCTCTGATTTAGGGGGAGATTGTTGGAGGAAATCAGCGATTGCATAATCTTCATCGCTAAAAATGGAAGTCGAAAAAGGACAATCTAATGAAAGAAAAGGAAGGTATCAAATCAGTGGAAATTCGATTTTGAATTTCCTTATGATGAAGTCCAGCAACGGCTAGAAGCTTCATATATATATACTTGTGGTTGCCTACTGTTTTTTTTGGGATCTTCGGGTGGCAAGCGGCATAGGGCTTGTAGGCAAAGAGGGTTAATCGTGATAGAGGAATAGGTTCTATCAGATTAACGGATGTAACGGGTCTGGGATTTTGGATCTGGGTTCTTATATTTTTGTTCTTGTTATCTTAGTTCTTGAGTCTGCATCCTTCTATTATTCGAATGCTTGATAGGAAAAACAAAATAAAAAGTGTCTCCTAGCAATCAGTGGGTACTGATTCTAGGACGAGGACTGACCCATATCTTGGGGAACCTCGTTAAAATCGATTGTGTCATTTCCTTTCTGCCTTTCATTGTTCGTTCTCTTCTCTGCTTTGTTTCTGGGTTTCATACTTGTAGAACAGATCATGATCTAAGCCTTCTTGGAAATTCTAAGCAAAGCTTCACGCTTAATTCAAGTAGGCCTAGTGACAATTTATGTTCTATTGGATAGTAGTTTTTATTTTCTTCTATTGGGCTCAGTCAGTTTAAGCCCATCTTAGAGAGCAAAGGGTAGTGACGAGAGAATCCTTTGATTCTCTTCCATTCATCATCTTCCTTCGTTTTTTTTTTTCCGCAAAAATCAATTCAAAATCCCTAGAAATTCAGGCCAGTTTACAATTGGTATCAGAGCCTCACCTTGAGAGAGCTCACTACTACCAAGGAAAACGATCCATGGCTACATCATCTTCGTTTTCGTTTGGTTCTGCTCCGTGGTTTACAGGTTCTAACTACACAGCATGGAAAAGACGGATGCAGAACTTTCTCTGGGGAATCGATGAAGGTTTGTGGTCTGTTGTCCGTGATGGGCCACTTGAAATGAATCCAGAGGAGCAGAATACATGGACGGCAGAACAGAGGAAGAGCGCACAGCTCAATTGCAGAGCGATGCACATCCTGCAGAGCGCTATGAGTACCGATGAAGTTGAGTGGGTTGTACATAGTGAATCGGCAAAGGAAATCTGGCAAGTTTTGGAGAACACCTATGAGGGAACCTCCAACATCAAAGAAACGAGGATCGATCTTCTTCTACACGACTATGAAGATTTTGTTATGGATTCAGGTGAGAGTATCCATCACATGTATTCCAGATTTACTAGTTTAATTAATCAGCTTAAAGGATTAGGAAAAACCCTTCCATCTACGGAATTAAATCGAAAAATTTTGCGTTCCCTTCCGAAAGAATGGCTTCCAAAAAGGATAGCCATTGAGGAAGCAAAGGACCTTCAAATTCTGTCGGTTGATGAATTAATAGGTTCTTTGATGAGTTATGAACACGTCATTCAACAAGTTGCTAGAGATGACAAAAAGCGTGCCCGTAATTTGGCTTTCAAATCCCAAACTTTTGATTGTGATTCTGATAGTGAAGCAAATATTGATTTTGAAAAGGAGTTTTCTTTAGTTAGTAGAAAATTCCACCAAATGCTCAAATATAAAAATGAGCAAAAGAAGCAGCGTAGATGTGGTACTGAGAGCTTTAATTCTTATGATCATAACCAATCAATTTCCCAAGATAGGCTGCTTGTACAGCAGACCAGAGTTTCAAATGCAGGAACATAAGAAAAAGAACCTCAAGCGTGCTATAAATGCGGGAAGAATGGACATATTCGTGCAAAATGTCCTCGGAGTTCAAAGTCAAAAGAACGCAGGATTGTGGCTACCTGGAGTGACTGCGAATCCAGATCAGATATTGACAAAATCAATGAAGAAGCATATATGGCGTTCTCTATTGAAACTGAAACAGGTACATCCATTACTAATCAGGAGCTCTCCTTGAAATCAGATCATATAGAGGTGCAACCATACGCTGAATCATCCAAGGTAAATTCTGAAAATTTCTTGTATGTTTTGAAAAACTTAGAGGATGAGTGTCGTAGCTTAAAAATTAAGTGTTGTTGTCTTCAGGAAGAGGTTCGTAAAAAGGCTGCTGATGTAGTGAACCTTACTAGAACCATAGAATTAAACAACATAAAATTTGTTGAGCTGCAACGTGAGAATGATGTTCTTAGAATGGACAAGGATCGCCTATACAAATTATTAGAGCACAAATCACTTTCTGTCTCCTCCTTTGGTAGCAAGTCAAACATTATTTCAACCTTCAAAGAACCTACCAAAGCTATAAAGCACCTTGTTAGTCGACCTCAGTCCCATTATGCTAAGATTTTCAGTAGAAATCATTCAAGCTCAAATATTAGCCACAAGCACAATAGAACAAAATATGATAAGAAAAGGACAACCTTCAGATCTAGCATTTCTCATCATATTAGCTACAATAGGGCTGGTTTATTAAATTGTTCTGCTTGTTTACAGCGTGGTCATGTTAGTCAATATTGTTATGTTTACTCTCGACATTGGAAACCCATACTCAAACAAGTTTGGGTTCGAAAGAAAACTAATATTTGATATTCCAGAGTTGGGAGTCGAATGATGCATTTGATTCCTCGTTAGCGGGTGCTCCCACCACATGACGACTAATGCATTATCTTTTGTTTTCTCTAAATAAAGGTAAGGTTTCTTTGGAAAAATTGGATGTAAATTGATTAGTTATTTTCTCAGCCAGTATTTACTTTTATGATAGTTGTTGCTAGGTTCAGCTTGCAGCATCTTCTCCAATTAAATTTAAATAGGACAATTGATCATGACTTAATGTCCTTTATCATTATGGGTAGAAGTAAAACGTGAAATTCCTTGTTGATGCACTGCAAGTGTACCTTTCGATCATTCTTTTTGTGTTTGGTAGAGTTAGTGTAGTAACAGTTAGAGTACGTGGGACTGTTTTCATCATTTATTTGATTATTTGGGAATGAGATTGCAAATTGAGGGGGAGATACTCCTGCAGTTAGTGAAGAATAGTAGGGGAGTTTGCTCCAATATCTTGTTTATTATTCCTATTATTCCTCTTATTGTGACGCCCTGCTGTTTACATGCAAAGGAAGGGCTGCTAGTAAATTTGTCTGTGATTGAATCAAGTTCTACTTGTGGTTCAGCCGGTAATGAACTTGTTTGAGCTTAGGGGAGACTATGACTAGAACTGATGTGCTTCTATGTTTCAGGTTATATGATGTGGCTTTCTATGTTTCAATAATTTGTTGGGAAAGGTATTTGATTTTGTGTGCAGATAGTTAGCAATTCGCAATCTCTGATTTAGGGGGAGATTGTTGGAGGAAATCAGCGATTGCATAATCTTCATCGCTAAAAATGGAAGTCGAAAAAGGACAATCTAATG